TCCTCCTCCTCCTCCTCCTCCTCCTCCTCCTCCTCCTCCTCCTCCTCCTCCTCCTTCACGTCCTCCCCATCCGAGCTGAGCCCCTCCAGTTGAGATTCGCCTTTCGGTTGAGGAGCGCCCGCCATCAATGACACTCGATACTCCGCCAGAGCATATTGACGTCTGCAGGCATGTGGGAGTACGATGGTGAATTGCTCTGCGAAGGATCCGAAATTGCCGCCGATATCATTTGGGGACCGCATCCTTCGGTCGAGGTGGCCGGCACGGCGGGGCCTATTCCTTGTATGCGATGATGAGGTGTTCGTTGTTTCCGAGCTTGCCACCGTTGCTGTTTTGGCGCCGCCTCCTTCGGTTGAGGCGTCGGGTTCGGCGGGGTCATTGCAGCCATTGGGATGCGGTGATGCATTGCTCGTGGAATCCGAATTTGCCACCGATGCAATGTGGGGACTCCCGGTGTGGAGACTTGCTCGGCGGACTCTCCGGGTGGCCCTCTAGACCCAGTCGCGTCGACGGGTCCTTTCAGCTCGGGCGTGAAGGCGTCTGCAGGCTCTGTCTTCGACACGGGCGCGAAGACGCTCTCAGACTCAGACTGTGATCTGCTCTGACGCGGTCCTGACGGCGCGGAAGTGATGGCCGTGCTGCGGGAAAAGCCGTGGCTTGCGGCCCCCGCCGTGCGTGCGGCTTCTCGGCTGGTCCTGGCAGGAGAGTGGTCACTCGTGCCAGTCGTATCGGCCTGACAATGTGCGCGCCAGTCATGCAGCTGATTTTCGAGTTTCGGCGAGGGCGTTGTGAGCCCGCCAACCTCCTGTTCAGTCCTTTCGGGAGCCTAGCCTGCAGCGGTCCACAGCAAATAAAACCCGCCTCCTCATCCTGCTCCTCCTCCTCCTGCTGCAAATTCCTGAGGAGCGCTTCCCCCTTCCCCTGGGACCCTTTCCTAGAGCGCTTCGCCCCACAACAACGTCATCACTCCTACCTCGCTGTTTCCGTTCTGTTCCTCTGCTGCCTGGAAAACTGTGTTTGGTGTTTCCGGGTTGGTCCACCCCATCCCTCCCAAGAAGTATGCTCCGAAAACCGTCCATTCTAGAGTTGTTCTCCAACACCATTCGCGGCCTCCAGAAAGCTCCAAAACAACTAAAAGAATCCCAGATGGCCCCAGTATGGTTCCAGTACGTCTCGAAGACAGCCCAGAGAGGCCCCAAGACGGTCCAGAGGCCCCCAATACGGCTCCAAGAGGCCATCAGGGAGGACAGGAAGAAGTCAAAATCCCTGATGCGCTTTAGGTGGCTGCATGAGTTTCGTGTACACGCCTTTTCAGGCTTCTAACAGGCGTCCAAGACGGGCCACGAGGTCCCCGAGACGGCCCGAGAGGCCCGAAGGCGACCTCAAGAGGGCCCCAGGACGGCCCAAGAGACCTCCAAGCCTGCCCAGAAGCGCTGCAATGGGACCCAAAACGGTCCAGAGGGCCCCCAAGACGGAACCCGCAGGCACAAGACGGGCCAAGAGAGTCAAGACGGCCTGAGAGGCCCCAGGTACAGACCGAGGCGGCGCACAGAAGTCCTCCACGAGAGCCCGAGGAAGCCAGAATCGTTGATGTTCCGTCTGTACTTTCGTGTTTTTCGCGTTCCCACCGAGGGCGCCAAGACGGCCCTACACACCTCGAAAAGCGCGGCAACGGGGCTACATGCCGGCCCAGAGAGGCCCCAAAGATGGCATCCGAAGGCGTCAGGCGGGCCAAGAAAGCCCTGAGACGGCCCAAAAGGCCCACAGGAGGCCCGAAGCGGCCCATGAGAGGCCCCTCAGAGGCCCTCAGGTGTCGAGGAAACGAGCTCGAATTCAAGACCGTCTCTAGTTCAAACCGCACGCTGAACTGCCGTGGGCCTGTAACCCAACATCGGTTACGCTGCGCTGGTGCGGTGGCACGGCGGCGACGCTTGCGGCAGGCAACCAGAAATACGCTACTGCAGAGGTTGACTGTATGCATTAGAAGTGTGCTCGGAGGAGACGTCAAGGTGTGCTCGTGCGCCTGGAACGCCGCGTTCTGCAGGACTGGCATCTTCGCGCTGATCACCTACCCTCCCCTACCGAAGTACCTCTATCGT